AAGTCCAAGTAAACATCAGTTTCTCTTCCTTTGTCCACTGATGCAATCACTCTGCTACTCCAGAGTAGTCTCCAGAGACCAAATCTTTAGTAAAGAGACTTACTCCAGCAGCTACAAATACATATATTCCAATTTACAAACTAATATTTTCTCTTGGCGTGGTGAAAATCAAAATGATCCAGAGATTGCTTTCTATGCAGCCACAGTTGAACTTCAGGGAACACAGTGTACAGTCCTGTCAACCCAAACTGCAAATTATAGCTCTAGCTTGTTTTTGCTGACAAACCTCCCATCTGCCATTATACTTCATGATGTTTTGATTTTGGTCAAAGGAAGGGACCAGAGTGGCTCTTGTCCTGAATGACAGTACAAGTGTCTGATAAACAACACTCTTCCTTTGAGCTATATTTGCTCAGGAGTGTGTCCCACATCTGCAATAAACTCCTGTCTACCTCGGTCACTCCCTTGGGTTCTGCTGATCACCACTGCTAGCCCTACCAATCTAAGGTAGCTTTACTCCTTCCTTAATTATATTATGCAGTTGTCTTTGAATAACCATACCAGGAGTGAACCCAAGGTTTTGATCTACTTTAATCACTCTAGAACTAGGAACATTTTCTCTATCAATTACAACAGATAGGTGAAATACTGCATTAAACCTTCATTCAGATCACACAGTGAAATCAAATGACATTTCATTACTTCTGTTCCCTTGAAAATCACAGCCATTGTGTTGTATCTCCTGCCTTGTGACTAATGTAACTCCTTTCTTAGACTCTGGGAAGAGTCATCTTCATGCAGTATGAGAAGGGATGTTGCTGTTCACTGTACCCACTGCACCATATAAACATTAAGTACCTCTCTCTTTTTGGGCTTGGTAAAGTTCCTGACAAAATCATCCAATATTTTATTGCCATTGCTAACTCATCCTCTTCTGTACCTCTATTTGGAGAGGTACAGAGAAACAAACAAACAAAAAAAACTGGAGCCACCTTTAGAACCTGAATGTTGGGTACAAATTTCTGTTCTGAAACCACTGGATGTACCCCTATGTTGCAGCATGGATGAAAGCTCCAGAGGCACCATCTGATCTGCAACTGTTGCAGACCATAACTCATAGATTCGCCTTAAGCTCTGCTTATCTACTGTGCGTTGATCTGCACCTCTTCTCTGGCATTTCTGATCACAGAGAAGAGCAATGCCTACGGATGGAGTTGTGCCACAAGCACAAGTCCTGTCTGAATCTGTGTATGTGTCATCTCCTTGCACACTCAGCATTTATAGTCACCAGATTCCAGTATCTTTGCTTCCAGATAATACATCAATGGCAGGAATTTAGCAGTAATTTCCCAACTCTGCAAGGTCATGCATGGAATCTTTTTAAACCAACATGGAAAAATACACCAACATCTGCAAGCAAAGGTCTTCCTCATATAATTCCTATTTTAAATGCCAATCGCATTGTTATCTTTTGCATAAAGTATCTACCAGTGGAGTGACACAACTCAGAGAGGATCAGCTTGAAAGACATGGGCTAAACATTACATTTAAACTTCAAATGAAGATCACAAAAGGCTACAGATTATCTGATGTTAATATCTGCTTCTGATCTGCTAAATTTTTATGAAGGTGAAGCCATTCCACTGAACACCCAAATTGCCACGAAAATACATGGTACTCTGTTAAGATACAGAACTTCTAGCATCTACTTAACAGTCTCCTTGGACTAAACCATTCAGATCTTTACAGTTCACTGCAGTTCCATCATTCCTATGCAACTAAGGCCCCCAAAGTTTAGACTTTACAGATTAGCATTTAAATACCAGCCTTGATTCTTCCTGCTACAGAGATCTCTAAACTCCTGTCACTAACTAGCTCACAGTAAAGAAACTCTAGCCTGGCAGCAGAACCTGTTCTTTTGGGACTGTCTTGCCAATGATTTTTGCTACTGCAGAAACAGCACCTGCTTGCACAGAAGTGAACCAAAACCTCAGTGTCCTACTGAGGATTTGCTTATAAAGATCACCAGCTGTGTTCTGATGTGATCATCAGAGCTAATCCAAGTCTGTAGAACTGTGAGCAAGCACAAAATGATTGTAACATAGGAATTCAACTCCATGGTAAGCGAACCAAAGAGAAGCTGGTTTACTCAACTGGTGCAAAACAAGTCATGTGGAATTATTTCATCATTTCTGTCCTTTAGCTGTTGAGCTTGTTTGCAGCATTCCCTGCCACAGGATGTGTCACATACTTCTTAGCCCTTCCATTCCCTCAGGACTGCAGGAGGATCTCTGTCTTTACCTTGCCTTTGCCTTTGCCTTGGTTGGACTTCTCAAAATCACATGGCCAGACTAAGGCTCTAATGTCAGCCTGCACAGAGCACAGAAACTAAGGGGTCTGACTCTGCTCTGTGTGGGGTGTATGGCAGTTAAGTAGCCTCACTTTAAAACGACAACAAAAGGATGTACATAAAATGGTAATCAGAGTAATTAGAATACATGGGTTAGCTGGAGACTTTCAGCTCGATATTCAGCAAAGTGTGTGTTTAACCTGGATGTTCAAACCCAGCAAAGGACTGCATGCTGAGCTGAAGGTAACACTCCCTGGGGAGGCTAAGTCTCATTGTGGCCAGTGGAATATGTTTCCTGGGAGAAATCCATTGCAAGTCATCTGTACCCTGGCTCTCAGAGTGCACCACGCATGAGGCAAGCAGCAGGTGTGGTTCTCATCCCTTCCTTGCCATCCTTGCCTGAAGCAGTGATTTCCAGACGCTCCTCTTGAAATTGCTACGTATCTGCTGGATTCACAGAGCACTCCGATCCTATAGATGTTCTTTCAGACTCTGCATTGGGCCTGGAAGGGACATCTGACTACGAGAAAAGTAATTTGGGATCCAAGGAAGCTGATGACCAGTTTGCGCGCCTTCATTAGGTCTTACAGCCCCCAGAAAAGCACTGCTACCTCCAGGCACTTTGGCAAGAAGGGGTGCAATGATCAAACAAAAAGGGCACATCTGCAAGGGCTCCCAGCAGCAGGATGAAGCTGCTGAAGCAGAAAGTCATGGAAAGGACT